CCTCCTCTCAATTTCCGTAATTTCCCAGAAAACTGAATTGGGGGCGGGAGCTAAAAACAGAACTGAAAAGGTACAGTTTTACAACATTGTGCATACCCCTAATGGCCAGTAGTCTGTCTGGCCTTGCTCAGCTGCAGCTGAGAGCAGGCCTCCAGCAGAACAGGACTCTTTCCAGTATTTTTAGCAAACTTGGGAAGGGTTAATGCAACTATCCATTGAAATAAGGAAAAAGGTCATAGGCTTCAGTGATTACAGGTGGAGGATGGATGAGAGGAGCTTCAGCTGAGATCTCCATTGGACTGTGACCTTGAGTATGGTTTATTATTGTTCCTGACCCAGCTCTGTACATCTCGGCTTGTCATCATTAATCGTACTCTCGACCTTCACAGTGTTCATCATTATTGGTTTGTGTTACAATTTGGCTATTTCAGCCAACACTCAATGTTTAAGTTTTCTTTATCATTTAAATAAGTATGGCCTTGGCTTACTTTGCTTTCCTTTAATTAAACCTCAGCCCTGATACTGGGACTTTCTGAAATGGGGCAGGTAGTGATTTCTGCTTTGTTTTTCTTGGCGCTCTTCATTTTTTTTGTGTGTGTGTGTAGCTGTATTTTAGAAATAGGCTTTTTGTATTGTCGAAGGCTTTCATGGCCAGAATAATTGATGTGTTGTGTGGCTTCCGGGATGAATGGCTGTATTTTAGCAGCATTTTCTCTTGAAGCTTCACCTGCATCTGTGTCTGGCATCTTCAGAGGACTATGTTTTCCCTTTGTGTGTATGTTTGAATTAAATTATTATTTCTAAAAATCTACTGCAGCTTTTCCCAGCTCAGAGAAAACATTTTTATTATATTATAATAATATAATAATTGTATATTATATATTACATGTAATATTGCTAATAACATTGCAGTATAGTGGCATAGTACAATATAGTAATATATAATACTAATATCGTGCTATACTAAATAAATATATACATATATATATATATATATATATATATGGTAGATATATGTAATATTTATAATATTACTAGCTGTCCCCTACCACACGTTGCTATAGCCCAGTCTGTGGATCTGGAAAATAAAAAAGGCAAAAGGTCCCTAAGACCAAAAGTAAAACAGTTATATAATTGCAATAATGTATATGATGTCTTTGCTTAATTGCTACAACATTCAATATATAGGCTTCTAGTGCAAAATATACTACCTGCAATTTTCTAAACCAAAAATTATGTTTCTTATGTGGTATAAACAACAAATTCTTACAGCTAAATGTACAGCTGTTTTAAAAGTTCTTTTGAAAATCAAATTTATCAATAACAATACTTTGACTTACAAACTTTGTATTATTATTATTATTATTACTGATAAACTTTTAAAACAGCTGTACATTGAAGTAGCAACAAAAATAATTTTATGGTTGGGGGTCACCACAACATGCTGAACTGTATTAAGGGGTTGTGGCATTAGAAAGGTTGAGAAACACTGATACACACACACACACACACACACACACACACACAAAGAGAATAGGAAAAGGGAAGGGAAAAGAGTGAGAAGGAAGGAAGGAAGGAAGGTGAATATATATTAGCCGCCCCCTGCCACGCGTTGCTGTGGCTCGCATGGGGGTTCTGTGTAGGAGGTTTGGCCTAGTTCTATTGTTGGTGGGGTTCAGAATGCTGTGATTGGAGGCGAACTATAAATCCCAGCAACTAAAACTCCCAAATGTCAAGATTCTATTTCCCCCAAACTCCATCAGTGTTCACATTTGGGCATATGGAATTTTTGTGTCAAGTTTGGTCCAGATCCATCATTGTTTGAGTCCACAGTGCTCTCTGGATGTAGGTGAACTACAACTCCCAAACTCAAGGTCCAAGCCCATCAAACCCTTCCAGTGTGTTCTGTTGGTCATGGAAGTCCTGTATGCCATGTTTGGTTCAATTCCATCATTGGTGGAATTCAGAATGCTCTTTGATTGTAGGTGAACTATAAATCCCAGCAACTACAACTCCCAAATGTCAAGGTCTATTTCTCTTAAACTCCATCAGTGTTCATATTTGGGCATATGGAATATTCGTGCCAAGTTTGGTCCAGATCCATCATTGTTTGAGTCCACAGTGATCTCTGGATGTAGGTGAACTACAACTCCAAAACCAAAGGACACTGCCCCCAAACCTTTCTAGTGTTTCCTGTTAGTCATGGGAGCCCTGTGTGCTAAGTTTGGCCCAATTCCATCATTGGTGGAGTTCAGAATGCTCTTTGATTGTAGGTGAACTATAAATCCCAGCAACTACAACTCCCAAATGACAAAATCATTTTTTTGAGTGAAGGACATACATTGGGTTGTTAGGTGTCTTGTGTCCAAATTTGGTGTCAGTTCCCCCAGTGGTTTTTGAGTTCTGATGGTAGCACAAACGAACATTACATTTTTATTTATTTATTTATTTATTTATTTATTTATTTATTTAGATAGATAGATAGATAGATAGATAGATAGATAGATAGAAGATAAGATATATATGGCACGGGCCAACTTCGACCCTACATGTGTTTTGGACTTCAACTCCCACAATTCCAAACAGCCAGTAGGAAGCCCAAAATACCTGGAAGGCCAAAATTTGTCCATGTCCCATATATAAATTTTGTTCTACCATCTCAAAGCTCCCTGCTTGAGCAGTAATGGCACGATCATCTGCATAGATGAAGCTCTCTGTCCCTTCTGGCAGTGGCTGGTCATTTGTGTAGATGTTGAACATGGATGGAGCAAGCACGCTCCCCTGAGGCAGGCCGTTCTTCTGTTTCCGCCATCTGCTTCTCTGGCCCTGGAACTCAACAAAGAAGCTCCTGTTTTGTAGCAGGTTCCTATGAGGCGGGTGAGGTGGTAGTCCTTTGTGATATTATACATTTTTCTCAGGAGGAGGCGGTGGTTCACAGTATCATAGGCTGCTGACAGGTCTATGAAGACAGCTCCTGTGATCATCTGCCTTTCAAAGCCATCTTCTATGTGCTGAGTCAGGTTCAACACTTGCAATGTGCAGCTTTTGCCTTTTCTGAAGCCAGCTTGCTGTGGGATCAGACAAGGATCTATTTTTTCCGTAATTCTATGCAGAATAAGTCTCTCTCTCTCATCTGCCCTTGCGCTGTGCTACTCTGCTGCTGAGTATGCATGCCCAGTGTGGAACACATCTCACCACACTAAAACAGTGGATGTGGCTCTTAATGAGACACGCCGCATTATCACGGGGTGTCGGCACCCTACACCACTGGAGAAATTACACTGCTTAGCCGGTATTGCACCACCTGACATCCGCCGGGAAGTAGCAGCCAATAGTGAAAGGACCAAAGCAGAGACATCTCCAGCTCATCCCGTTTGAGTATCAGCCAGCACGTCAACGACTTAAATCTAGAAATAGTTTTCTAAGATCTACAGAGACGCTGGAACACCTCAGCAAGCGAGAGTCCAAAAGTGGCAGGCTCAAACCCAGAACCTCAACCAATGGCTGATACCAAATGAGAGACTCCCTCCTGGGCACACAGAGGACTGGGTGACTTGGAAGGCGCTGAACAGACTGCGCTCTGGCACCACGAGATGCCAGAAATGGGGCTACAAAGTGGAATCCTTGACATGCGAGTGTGGAGAGGAGCAAACCACTGACCACCTGCTGCAATGCAACCTGAGCCCTGCCACATGCACAATGGAGGACCTTCTTGCAGCAACACCAGAAGCACTCCAAGTGGCCAGATACTGGTCAAAGGACATTTAATCAACTACCAAACTCACAAATTTTGCATTTTTTTTTGCTTTGTTCTGTTAGAAATGTAATATAATCGACTGGTTGCACTGACACGATAAATAAATAAATATATTATTTTTATTGATTGGTTGGGGGGGGGGAGACAAAATACTGTTTGCTTACACTTGAAAATTACCTAGGGCTGGCCCTGGTCACGTGAAATCCCCCCAAACTTGAGATGCTTCCCAAACCGGGGCGATTGCCTGTTCGCTGGAGCCCTCTCTTGGCTACGACTTGAGTTGCTGAACTGCACTAAAAACGAAGAGAGAGGCAGAGAGAGCTCTTTGGGGCCGAACTACAGAAGCTGGCCCTGTGCTTTCCTCTCCGATCCCCTCTTGGCTGCTTTTGCGGCTTGAACTTGATGGTCACCGGCGCGAAAGGATCCTCTCTCGCCTTTCTTGGGAGGCCGAAGGGCTCAAGAAGAGGAAAGAAGCATGCTCCACATCTTGATCTTGTCGCCGAGGCCTGGCTAGTTGTCTGCCTTGCGATCGCCTTGCTTGGCGAGCAGAAACGGGGCCGAAGGAAGAAGAGCCGAGAGGGCAAAAGGAGCTGGCGGATGGCGTGGTCTTCTCTTCTCCTTGCAGATGCAAATCGCGTCTCCAACCAGCAGGAGGGAGGAAGAGGAAGTGAGAGCGGAGGCAGAAGCAGCAACAGCAGCAGCAGCCGCCACTGTGTGTGTTCCTCCAGGGCTCTGAGGATGGGATAGAAAGAGAGAGAGAGACACACACACACTCAGAGAGAGACACTTCTCGCCCATCCACGCCCCCAAAGCCAGCCCAGGGCCAACTTCGGCGGCAAGAGGAACTGCGGGGCTCTGCGCCAGACAACTCCATTCCTGATCGAGCCCGATTGGCCTCTTGCGGAGATACGGAGACCCAGCGCTGCAACAAGGACTTCATTCCATGGGGGGGGGGGGGGAAGCAGAGCAAGAGAATAGAAATGAGAAAGTAACTAAAGTAGTCTTCTAACCCAGGAGTAATATCGATACAGGGATGACCAATGAGGAAGGAGGGAGGGGGCGCGCGCTGGGTTTCAGGGCGGGGGAGGTTGCCCAGTGCTGCTGCTGCTACTGTTGTCCTAGTTTGCAAGCGCGCGCGCGCTCCAGGGGGCCAGGCGCGCGCCTCTGGTCCGGACCCACATTCGAGCGCGTGCCTCTCTTTCTCAGGGTCTTCCTCTTGCACCTGACGGCCTCGCGCGCGCGCACTTTCCCGCCGCTCTCAGGGGGAAAAAAGAAAACAAGGCTTTCAGTGGATAACTCAAAAGGGCCCAAAGACAAAGTATGTGCTCTCTCTCTCTCTCTCTCTCTCTCTCTATTGGTTGGGGGGAGTGTCATTGCATCGAGGGTCCCCCCCATTGTGGCTTTAAAACGCACTTATTTTGTGGCAGGTCGAGTGAACCTTGAGGCGTTATCTCTTTAGGGGCAGGAAATACGAAGGCTTCCTCCCTTCCTTCAGTGTTGCTTTCTCTCAACTCCCTCCCTCCTTGCCTTCCTTTTTCTCCCCAACTTCGCCCAGTCTCTTCCCCAAGTCAGGAAGCAGTTGTCTTCTCCATTCATTCGTGTCAAGCCTCCCTCCTCTGTTATGCCCCCCATTCATGGCAGGCAGTCCCAGTACTTGCCATGTGACCTGCTTTGGAGTGGGTTATTGACACTTTCAAGGCTCCATTCTTTTTTTTTTTTTAAGATAATTTTATTATGTTATACACACAGATCAGTAAGCCAAATTCCAAGTGTTACACATATAATAAATTGTGGCAAGTTCTTCGTGGGATGGGCATCCCAAGCCACCTTGTCTCTCTCCTGAGGAATCTGTACAAGGACCAAGTAGCAACAGTAAGAACTGACCACGGAACAACAATGGTTCAAGATTGGGAAAGGCGTACGGCAAGGCTGCATACTCTCACCCAACCTTTTTAACTTGTATGCAGAACACATCATGCGATGTGCGGGGCTGGATGAATGCAAAGCTGGGGTGAAAATTGCTGGAAGAAACATTAACAACCTCAGATATGCAGATGATACCACTCTGATGGCCGAAAGCGAGGAGGAGCTGAGGAGCCTTCTAATCAAGGTGAAAGAAGAAAGTGCAAAAGCTGGGTTGCAGCTAAACATAAAAAAAACAAACCAAGATCATGGCAACAAGAATGATTGACAACTGGAAAATAGGGGGAGAAAATGTGGAGGCCGTGACAGACTTTGTATTTCTAGGTGCAAAGATTACTGCAGATGCAGACTGTGGCCAGGAAATCAGAAGACGCTTACTTCTTGGGAGGAGAGCAATGTCCAATCTCGATAAAATAGCAAAGAGTAGAGACATCAGACTGGCAACAAAGATCCGCCTAGTCAAAGCCATGGTATTCCCTGTAGTAACCTACGGATGTGAGAGCTGGACCTTAGGGAAGGCTGAGCGAAGGAGATAGATGCTTTTGAACTGTGAAGATAGATGCTTTTGAAGAGTTCCTTGGACTGCGAGAAGATCCAACCAGTTCCTACTTAAGGAAATAAAACCCGACTGCTCACTGGAGGGAAGGATAGAGACAAAGTTGAAGTACTTTGGCCACATCATGAGGAGAAAGCAAAGCTTAGAGAAGACAATTATGCTGGGGAAAGTGGAAGGTAAAAGGAAGAGGGGCCGACCAAGGGCAAGATGGATGGATGGTATCCTTGAAGTGACTGGATTGACCTTGAAGGAGCTGGGGGTGGTGATGGCTGACAGGGAGCTCTGGCGTGGACTGGTCCATGAGATCATGAAGAGTCGGAAACAACTGAACGAATGAACAACAAACATATAAAAAGGCTACCTGCTTCACGCCATAGGACCAAACCAACAGCAGGTTAGTATATCCAATGTTATATTAAACCAGTGGTTCTCCCTCTTCAACCACAGTATATTTCTGGTTAATCTCGCAGATCCAGCCACTGGTAGAGTCTTTGTATTTTTTTTCTTTGATGTGATCGTTGGCTCTTCCATTTTTCACCCACTTGAAGTAGACCTTCCATCTATTTGTAATGGTCTTTTCTTTGTCCATTCTTGGTGTTTGTTTAGTCATAATTCCCGTAATGTCTAACAGCACTTGGTCATACATATAATCATTCCAATTACTTAACGTCCATTTCGATTTGTCTTTCCATCCTCTAGCAATCACAGCATGGGCTGCTCTTATTGTTACCTTAAATAACTCCTGGCAATTAGTTATTATACTCGGATGATCCCACACTCCCCAAAGTAGCAAATCATTATTAATTTGAATTTTTATCTGGAATATCTCCTGAATTTTTCCTTGTATCATTTGCCAGAATTTTTTTATTTCAGAACACTCCCACCACATGTGTGAATAAGTACCTTTTTCTTTATTACAATGCCAACACTTCGAATTCTTTCCTTTTAACATATAAGCCAATTGTTCAGGAGTTCTTTTTTTTGACATCTTTTTTTCTTTTTATATTATTTTATTTTATTTTTTGTCTGAACTCAAATTCTAAATATCATTTTCCAATGGAAGACACTAACACAACCTATAGACTTCAATTTTTCCAAAAATTCTATAATATCTTCTTTTTTCTTTTTTTTTTCATCTTTTTCACTCCCTTACCTCCCGCATCATCGTCTATTCGTTTGCATCCATCCATCCTCCCATTTTCCTTCTTCCTTCCTTATCCTTCCTCTTTTTTCCCTTCTTCCTTCCTCCTCTCCCTCTTTTCTTCTTTCCCTCCCTTTCTTTCTTCCCTCTCCTTCTTCCTTCCGTCCTTCTTTTCCCCCCTCCTCCATTG